CCTGCTCCCGGCTCTGTAGCCTCGCAGGAGGAGGTGGAGAAAGGAGGAGGAGGAGACAAAGACGCCAGGGAGGCGAAGAGCCGCTCGCCCAGACGCAATCGGCTCCGTCGCTAGAGGGGAATCGCCTCCAAACCCGGGCTGGGGAGGAGGGAGGAGGGGCGAGGCGGCCGGGGACTGGAAAGGAAGCACGGAATTAACGTGACAGCCAGAGCCTTGCCGTCGCCTCGCCGGCGCTGACCTCTCGCCTCCGGGCTGGGGGGTCCGGGAGGGAGACAGCGGCGGGGGCTGAGCAGCAGCTGCCCTGGAGCACAGGCGAGGCAGGAGTCCGGCTCCCACCGCCGCTCTCGCCTTCCTTCCTCACTCCCCTTGCACGGCTCCGCTTGCAGGATGCCGTGGCCCCATTCCTTCTGTTTTTCCAACTACTGAGATCGGAGCTGAATTTAGCTGGTAGCAGAAGCAAAACGTGGTGATGGGTGGATCGCCTTCAGCGGGGGAAAAACGGGTGCTGAAAATCAGTTGGACAAAGGATTGCTTGCCCAGCGCGGTGCTTGGGAGGGAGGCTGGATCAGGTGGGACTCCTGCCCCCACAAGACTCCCTCGCCAGACCTCAGACTTGAGTTTCCCCTGCAGTTCTTGGAGCCCAAAGTTTTGGGGGGTTGAGTTGTGGCCTCTGATCCTCACCCTCAACCAATCCAGCTTCCCAAAGCGTAAGAAGCTCGAGTTCATCCTCCCTTTCCCTTCCAGGGTTGCCTTGAATGTGCAGCGGAAATCGTGTCGATAGGCCCCTTCAGAAAGTGCGTGTATGTGTTTTAAGAGGAAGACAAATTGTTAGCTTTAGTAGTGATGCGCTTATTTCATGATTTTAACTATTTATCAGATCTGCACCAGGAACCAACTGGGGGCGGAGGAACCTGCCTCCCCAGCCTCTACAAACACCTTCTTCTTTTTAAAGCCCGTTTCCATTCCTACCCGCGCCACCCCAGGCAGAATCAAGCTTTCCCTTCTTCTCTTTGTCGCCACAGAGTTGTATTTGCCAGTTGCTTGCAGAACTTACATGTTTGTAGATTTGTATCTCTGCACTTACCTGTGAGTGTTCCCTCTGTTTTTTGTTTATTTTTTCCACTACAACATCCAGTAGTATTTTGTATCTACTGGGTACTCCAGGAATGCTTAGCCAACTGAAGGTCATTTTCTCCTTCAAGATGAGCTCAATTTCAACATCCCTATAATTAAAGAGACTCAGGGAATGAAACTTTCAAGAGTGTGTGTGTGTGTGTGTGTGTGTGCGTGTGCGCGCGCGCGTGTGTGTGTGTGTTGGGGGGGCACATACAGTTACATTCACAGCCCCTTTGCTGGAAAGATAAAACGATTTAATTCATTGTTGTCGCTAATCTTCTTCCAATGACTCCTCCCTACCTCTGTCTGCTGAATTTTCAAAGGCTGAAGAAAACCAAGCTGTTGAGCACCTGCGTGGAACAGAAGATGGGAGATGGACAATCAGCTGCCAGCACCTACAGCAAGCCCATTCCAGGTGGAGAACGACCAAAACATCTTCATCATTTCATGATCTGTGTCAAGTATGTTGAAAGCCTGCCAAAGTTTCTTCATTTCCAAGGAGGCTGTCTTATCCTGGATGCATTTTAGAAGTCTGAGCCATGTTTCATTGCCGAGAGGCGAAGAAATTTGCTTTGAAGTTAGTCTAAGGATAGTTTACATTGTTGTTTTCTGCCTCACAGAAAGATACCCCACATCATGAATGCTCTATGAAAAAGGTCTATAATGTAAGAGGTTAGACTAAATGACTCCCAATATACCTTCTAGTTTTAGATTTTGTGATACTGTGATTTGAAAGACCGTGTTTTGAAGTGTTTTTGTTTTTTGAGTCAGGGTCTCACTTTGTTGCCTAGATTGGAGTGCTGTGGCATAATCATAACTCACTGCGGCCTTGAACTCCTGGGCTCAAGGGATTCCTCTTCTTCAGCCTCCCAAGTAGCTTGTTCGTTTGTAGAGACAGAGGTCTCACTATGTTGACTAGGCTGATCTTGAACTCCTGGGCTCAAGTGATCCTCCCACCTGAGCCTCCTAAAGTGCTGGGATTATAGGCATGAACCACTGCTCCTGGCCACGTCTTTTTTTAAATGAGATTTTAGGACCCAGACATAGGTACATTTGGATAGCGGGTATATAATTTGGTATGATTTTTCTGTAAGGATATTTGGTGTTACTCAAAAGATAAAGTTTATGCATGCCATTGCCCCAATGGGGATGGGGGTCTCTAATTCTAGTAATTCGTCCTCATGAATAATCAAGGATATACAAGATTTGCCTATAAGGATATTCACTGCAGTGTGGTTTTCACTACTGGAGAATTGAAAGGAAACAAAATTAAACTTAAATGTCTAGGAAGAGAGGAATGGTGAAATATTGTGTAAATCTATGCAATGGAATATTTTTCAGATATTAAACTGTTGCAGGTGAATAACGTTATGAATTATATTTTTATAATATAGCGTTATTTGAAAATTTCAAATGCAGAAGGTGATATATAGAAGAGCAAAAATTAAAATCTGTAGTTAAAAAGTCTGGGTTTGAAAGCAGGCATTTCTACTTGCTGGCTACTTGATCTTGGACCTGAACCTCCAATATATCAACTGTATAATTGGCTTGATGTTACTTATATTGCAGTGTTGTTGTGTATTATCTGGGACAGCATTTATGAAGCACTGAGCGTGGTGCTTAGTACATAGTAAAATCACAGTATAGTTTTCTTTGGTAATCATTAGAACTATAAAAGTGAATTTAAGGCATATTTTCTGGTATTATATATACCAGACATATTATACATATATTTGGACTCAGGTCTACAGTAATATATACTCCAGTATTAACAGTGGCTATCTATCCCCGTTGGTACTGGGACTTTGAGTGTCTTTAAAAACCGTGTATAGTAATCATAAAGTAAATATTATATAGTAAAAAGCAGTGGAGTTTGTTTTTCATCTAGTTGTCTTTTAATTAAAATAACAAAACATTTCTAATTATTGACACAGGAAACCTCTGGACTCGGATGCTTTTGCTTTAGTGGATTCATCAACAGGTCGTCAACATGACTTGCTGACTGTTGGTCTTACCCGTGTTATAAAAAGGATAAATGACAAGGCATGGAGTTTGTCACCTCCTATATAAACTTAGATTTATTTTGTAGCAACCAGGAATCACGTCCAGCAAAATATGCTATTTAATATAAGGAGCTGATTGGCAGCTACTCTTGCCTTGTCTTGGTAGCCAATAAAGAGAGCGGGGAGCATCAGAAACTATATTTGTAACTTTTAATTAGTGAATGAGAAAAGGAAGCCTATTATTGAAAGGCCATGACCTTCACATTTGTGTAGTGACCCCTCTGAGTCAGAGGTGGATCTTTTGCAAAAGTTGTCTGTGTATATTTAAAATGCTGCAGAAATGCCAGGCTCGGTGGCTCAGCCTGTAATCCCAGCACTTTGGGAGACTGAGGCTAGTGGATTACCTAAGCCCACAAGTTCGAGACCAACCCAGGCAACTTGGCGAGACCTCATCTCTACAATAACTAGTAAATTAGCCAGGAGTGGTAGTAAACGCCTGTAGTTCCGGCTACTTGGAAGACTGAGGTAGAAGGATCACTGGAGCCTAGTGAATCGACACTGGGGTGGTTGTGAGTGTGCCACTGCACTCCAGCCTGGGCGACAGAGTGAGACTCCAACTTAAAAAAAAATTACAGAAATACAGAAAGGAATATGATTTATTGACATTTTTAGCTTAACTTTCCTTAGGAATAGGAGCACATCATTTCAAAATCAATATGTTCCAGAAAATTTTGCA